GGAGGGGGGCAAAGGGGGCAGCCGCATGTGCCCGGGGCCACCTCCAGCCCCACCTGGCTCCCCGCCAGCAGCCCCAACCAGCAAAGCCCCCCGTCCCCACCCCTGCCCCCCCCGCTCACCCCTCAGCTCCCTGTTGGCGTGCACCTCGTAGCCGTGCCTGGCCGCCAGCGACTTGGCCATCGACATCGCCTCCAGGGCATCCAGCAGGCACACCAGCACCGCCAGCAGCGCCTGCTCGCCGGGGGCGCGCAGCGGCAGCCACCAGCCCGCCGTGAAGCGGGGGGGGCCTGCGGGGGCGCGGCAGGCGGCAGGAGTGGCCGGGGGTGAGGCATGCGGCAGGGTGAGGGCAGCAGCGGGGTGGGGAGTGCAGGTGGCGCACCTGAGGGTATGTGGCCCACTTGGCGGATGTAGGGGTGCTCTGGGGTGGGCAGCTTGTACAGGCTGCCCGCCCGCATGGCGCCCACGCTGGCGATCAGCACGGTGAGCGGACCCATCGCCCGCAGCAGCGCAAGCTGCCTGCGCGCATGGCGGCGGGGCGGCGCGGCCCGGCGCTCGCGTGCGGCTGGCGCAGCGCAGGCTGGCGCAGCGCGGGCTGCGGCGGCGGCGGCCCATGCCACGCTGCCCTGCCGCCAGGTGTGCCCCCACAGCCGGCGCCACCCCCACCCCCCTCACTTGTGCCTGGCGGCCAGATACTTGAGCAGCAGCAGCAGCAGGATGAAGGAGCAGCCCATGGCAACCTCGCGCCAGCTGCGGGTGGGGCGAGTGGTGGCGGATGGACAGGAGGGCGGCGGACCAGGCGCTAGCTCGGCCGCCGCTGTCTCGGGCCTGATGGAGGCAGCCGCTGCGCTGCCGGGCACCCCTCTGCCCAGCTCCCACACCACACCCACACCCCACCCACCTGGCCTCCCCGATGTGCCCAAAGATGCAGGCCAGCTCCTCGTGCACCCGCTCGCTGCGCGGAAGCTGCAGCCCCAGGATGTACTTGACCTGCAGGGGGGCCCGGCAGGCAGGCACACAGACCTCTCTCCCTCCGCACCCGCCGCACCCGCTGCACCCGCCGCACCCGCTGCACGCGCCCTGCCCCACGCCGCCCCGCGCCCCGCCCCGCGCCCACCTGCGACAGCGCGATGACGATGCAGGCGCCGCTCATGTAGCCGGACACAACCGAGTGGGACAGGAAGTTGGTGATCCAGCCCAGGCGCAGCAGGCCCACCGCCAGGTAGATGCACCCCGCCAAAAAGGCCACCTGCGGGCAGCGCAGCGCCGGGCAGCGAAGTGGCGGGCTCGCGCCCGGCCCACCCCCGCCACGCGATCGGCGCCGCCCCCGCGCATCCCGCCGCCGCGGAGCGGCTGGCCTGCACGGCGTGGCGGCGCCCACCTGCACCGCGGCCTGGTTGTACTCCTGCTGCAGCTGCGGGTCGTCGGGCTGGTTGGGGTTGTCGTTGACCCTGCCCTCAAAAATGTTGGTCAGGCCGGCGCCCAGCAGCATGCTGGTCAGGGACACGGGCCCCACAGACAGCTGGCGGGAGCTGCCAAAGAGGCAGTACACGATGCAAGGGATGGTGGCGGAGTAGAGGCCAAACACGGCGGGCAGGCCCGCCAGGCTGGCGTACGACATGCCCTGCGGGATCTCCATGCATGCCACAGACAGACCCGCCAGGATGTCGGCCTGCGCGCCGGGCAGGCGGGCAGGCGGGCACGCCCGCTGGGATTGCCGCGTGAGGAGGGATGGGGCAGGGCATGGCGAAGTGGGGCCCATGAAGCGGCCGCTCACCGTCAGCCAGCCCCGAACATTGTAGGTGGCCAGCCATGACGTGCATGGCAGCAGCGCGGTGAGCCACTGGTGCCAGGCATAGCGCCGCCGCTTGTCCAGGTACCTGCATGCAGGGGGGCGGCCATCAGCGGGCCAAGGCGGGGCGGGGCGGTGGCGGCGCCGGCGGCGAGTGCAGGCAGTGAGAGCCCACTCGCCGCTGGGTCCGCGAGAAAATGGGCGTCTCAGGCTCTTCCTCCCAATCCAGCGGCCTGCAAATCGCGCACCAGCCACCTGCTCAGCCACCTGCTCATGGCACAAGTTGCAGGGCAGGATGTGAAGGTCGGGAGCACCACTCACGACTTTCTACTGCCATGATGTTCCAAAAGAGGATCCGAGGCCGCCTCGCCGTTTTCGCTGGACTCAAAACTATTGTTCATTCCTTAGCTTGGGCGGGAATGCAAGAGAGACTTTGCACATTGAACCGAGGCATTATTTGAAGAGCACCACAGCAGAGGCCTCTGGATCCCCTCTGGATGGGCACTCCGCCGCCACGCGGGCGCCACCGCCGCCACGCGGGCTCTGCACTGCGCTGAGGAAGAGGCCCTCTACCGCCTCGCACCTCCTGCTCGCCTCTTCAGCGAGATCTGGGGTCATTGCGAGCATGTCGGGCCAGGACGCCGCGAGCAGCGGGAGCGGCAACGCGGCCGCCATCGATGGCAACGAGCAGGTGGGCCTGCCTGCAGCAGCCTGGCCAGCCGGGCACCATAAGGGCACTGCACAGCGGCCTGCCCTGCAGCCCACCCCACCATGTGCGGATGGGCAGCCAGCACCGCACTCCAAGGGACTTCCAGCAGCCTTGGAGGTGGCAGGCAACCAGCAGCAGTCGTCGCAACAGCCGCGCCGCTGCAGTCGGCGCAAGGAGCGGGCGGCGGCCACCGCGCCTGCTGCATCCAGGTTCTAATTCTAAAAGTGTGCCGAGGTACCCATCCCTTCTTGCTCCGTGTCGCGGCAGCCCGTGTTGCAGGAGGGAGCTGCCCTGGCTGCCGAGCAGGAGGGGGCGCCGCAGGTGGGGCAGCTAGGGTTGTTGCAAGGAGAGGAAGCATGCGGACAGCCGCCCTGCACCGTCTCTGCCCTTGTTCAAGCGCCACATCGCCCCGTGTCTCCCTGCCTTCTCGCTGCCCAACCTTGTCGTCATGCTGAATGCCCGCCGCTGCCTCCCTACCCCTTGCAGCCCGCCGTGCCGCAGCCTGCCCCGGGCGCAGGGGGCAGCGGACTGCATTTGGACATGGTGAGTGGCGCTGTGTGTGTGGTGTGTGCCAGGTGCGGCGGGTGCCCAGGGAGGGAGGGGGATGGTGCAGCCATGCCCAGCCCTCCCTGTGGCGTTGTGACAGGACAGCGTTCAGCCGCCTCAGTCGCCCTGCCGAGCATCATCTGCTCTCCAGGCGCCGCGCTGCCGTGTGCCTCCCCGCCTTCCCGCTGCCGCGCAGAAGGGATGGCCTAGCATCGTCGCACCCCCCTTCAGCGTGGAGGGCCTGGAGCAAGCTTTCCACAAGGCCCGCAAGCCCACGCGGGCGGAGCGCCAGCGCAGCGGTGAGGGCGCTGGCGCTGGGCGGCTGGGGCCCTGACTGGGCAGGCATGCGTGCGGGAGACCGCCGCGCTGCACAGCCGCGGCCGCTCCCCAGGTTGCATGCGGCGACCCTCACTGGTCGCTGCTGCGCCTGCCGCCTTGTCGCGCAGCCGAGGAGGCCAAAAAGAACATGGAGCCCGACGGCAAGTTTAAGAGTGCCCGAGCAAAGGGCCCGAGGCGCCTGATGGAGACTCTGCGGTCTCCCCACCCTGCTTCCGGTGTGTGCAACAGAGAGAGAAGCAAGTGATGTAGCGAGATCATGCAAGAAAATGAAGAAAGGGGATTGGCTGCCAGGCATCTCAGCCGCCGCTGCCTGCCGCGGGCGCAGGCGCCGCCTGCCCCTCCTCCTGCTCGCCCTCCTGCCATGCCGGCAGCTGTCCCTCCTGGTCTTGGCCCCCCCAGGGCTCTGCAAGCTCGTCAGGCGCCGCCCACAGATCCTCGCCTGCCGCCTCCTGCGCCTCCTGCTCATCGTCTATGTGCAGCTGCTCAACCACGTCCTGCCAGGCAGCGTGCAGTGCCGCCTCCTCCTCCTCCCCCTCCTCCTCATCCCCCGCCAGCACGTCTGCACCCCACTCATTGGCAGCCGCCTCAGCCTCATCAAACTCTGCACCCCAATCCTCCTCCGCCTGCTCCTGCTGCGCCGCCAGCTCCGCTGCAAACAGGGCATCCTGCGCCGCCTGCCGCGCATCCGCCTGCGCCGCCGCCGCCCTGGCGGCCGCCACCTGGCACAGGCTGCCGCGGCTGCACCAGTGCTGCAGCTCTGCCGCCGTGGGAGCGCGGCCGCCTGCCGAGGTGGAGGCCAGGCCGTCCAGCAGCATGGCGGCGGTGTCCTGCCGCAGCACACCCAGGTCAAGGCGCTGCAGATGGGGCGAGGGGTTTGTGGCAGCTGCGCATATAAGCAAGGCCTGGTGGAACGAGAGACAAAGCGCACCCCGCACACGCACCTGCTGCGCTCATTGCAGAACAGCGCAAGCATCGCTGCGCAACAGCCACAGCGCATTGGCTGACGGTGCATGCAGCCTGGGCACGGCCGGCACCCCCCCCGCACAGACCACGTCCACCCGCGGCAGCAGCCGCACGCTTGCCTGCAGCACGGCGGTGGCGGTGGCGGGCCCCGACCTGAGGACGGCCACCAGCCACTCCGCCACCTGCGCCCTCAGCTCATCCAGGTGCAGCTCCTCCGCAAGCAGCAGCCAAGCGGTGGGGTCAGCGCCGTACAGGCGCTCACGCCTGCCGTGTGCCCAGCCCAGCGCCCAGCGCAGCAGGCGGGGTGCATCCAGGCGGTGCGCCAGGCGCAGCATGCCGGTCAGCGCGTCCAGCCCCTCGGGCCCGCCGTCTGCCGTGGCTGCCTCCAGCTGCTGCTCCGCCGCCGCCTGGCTATAGGCGCAGCTCAGGAAGAGCAGGGTGGCGGCGCGGGAGGTGCCCTGGAAGAAAGGCGTGACGTCCAGCGGCTGGCGCGGCGAGCAGGCGGCGCCCGACGACGGCGACGCCAGGCTGGCCAGCATGCCGGCCACGGCGGAGCAGCACCGGCTCAGCACCTGGCTGTGCAGCGGCAGCGCATCGGTGCGGTGCTGCGCCTGGGGCGGCTCCGCCTGCTGCCGCTCCGGAGCCTCCTGCTCAGCCACGGGGATGTGCAGGACGAGATCTGCCAGCTGCACAAACTCTTCAGAATCATCCGCCAGCAGGTATGGCAGGTGCTCCTTGGTCGCCATGGCACGGCGTGGGACGGGCCCGGAAGGAACCTGCGTGGCGCGGGCGGGCGCCAAAGAGGCGCAAGGCGGGGCGGGTTCAGTGGCGGCCATTGGCTGCATAGGGCCCTGCTGCGTTGCTCAACCATTCACGTGGTTGCTGGACTGCACATTGCAGGCGCGGAAAGGGCAACGAGGGTACCTGGGCTGGGCCAGTGCGCGCCGCCTCAAGAGCGAGAGGCAAGACGAGCCAGTTACTGATAGCTGATACGGACGACAATGACACGCACAGCGCCAGAGATGGGCGCAAGGAACGCCACAAAGGGCTGCGCCCCGCCGCCTTCGCCGGCGGTACATCAGCGGACGGGCGCCTGCTGGAAGTTTCAGGATAGCTTGCACCCCCAGCGTGTTCATTGTCACAGGATGCCGATGTAATCAACCGAGTGATACATACATACTGACAGTTTTCTGACAGCAGCGCCTCACAGCCTGGATGCTGGGTGGGAGGATGAGTGGCTCTGCGCGCCGCCGCCGCCTTCCCGCAGGCACCCTCCCGCCGCGGTTCACTTGGTGGCCTCCAGGTAGCGCTGCTCCACGCGCTGCCAGTCAATCAGGTTGGAGATGAAGCTGCCCGGGGGAGAGGGGCGGGGGGGCAGAAGGCAGAAGGCAGAGGCAGGCAGGCAGGCAAGCAGCTGTGAGCATGGGAGTGAAGGCCAGCTGACACGCGTGCAGGCAGGACCGTCACAAGGAGCGCGGCTGCGTGGGCGCAGGAGCGGGAGCGGGGGCTCACTTGGAGATGAAGTCGGGGCGGCGGTTCTGGACGTCCAGGTAGTAGGCGTGCTCCCTGCGGGGGTGGGGGGCGGGGCAAGGGGGCAGCAGGGGTGAGCGCTGTGGCAGGCAGATGGCTGGGCGCGTGTCTGCGATGCTACAGCGCCGGATGTTCATGCCAGGATGGCACGGTGCGTGCCTACCGGGCAGACGGCCACCGGGCAGGCAGCGGGGAGGCTCACCAGACGTCGAGCGTGAGGATGGGCGTGGCCCCATGCACCCACGGGTTCTCCGCGTTGGCCGTCTTGCTCACCTCCAGCTTGCCCTCCTTGCCCACGCTCAGCCACGCCCAGCCGCTGCCAAACTGGGTGGCGCCTGCACGGGGCGCGGGGGAGGGGGATAGGCAGGGCGAGCGAGGCAGGCGGGGCGGCAGGGTCGCATGCAAGCGGAGAGCCCTGTGCCCTGGCACCCCATCCGCCCAGACACCCAGCCAGGCAGCCCACCACCGCCACCAGCCAGCCCCTGCCAGCCCACCTGCCGCCTTGAAGGCCTCGACAAACTTGTCGTAGCCGCCCAGGTCCTTCTCGATGGCCTCAGCCACCTTGCCGCCGGGCTTACCTGCAGTCGGGGCGGGGGACAGCCAGCCAGCCGTCAGACACCCGCATGAGGGGCACGTGCAGCCGCAGGTTGGGGGCGGGAGCAGGGCGCGGTGCTGCTCACCGCCGCCGCTGGGGCTCATCGACTCCCAGAAGAAGGTGTGGTTGATGACCTGCGCGGCGTTGTTGAACTCGGGGCCGGGCTTGCCGCCGTTCCACGTCGCCAGCATCACCTGTGGGGGGGCGTGTGTGTGTGGTGTGTGTGTGGGGGGGGGTGATCGGCAGGGCACCAGCGCAGGCGGGTGTGCAAGCAGCCGTCGATGATGGATGCCTTGCTGTCTTGGTGAGGTGGTGGGCCCGCTACGGCTGTGCTCCTGCGCCACAGCTCTGCCACCCCCACGCGCGCACCTCGTGCACCGAGGCCGCGTTGGCCAGCTCCTTGCCCGCCACCTGGCCGTTCAGGTTGTTCAGGTATGCGGCATGGTGCTTGCCGTAGTGGAACTCGAACGTTTGCTGCAAGCACAGCGCGCCGTGTGCACGAGTGGGTGCCGGCTTAAATTCACTGCAGATCGGGGCAGCGCCTGCCGCTGCCGCTGACAACACCCACCTTGGACATGCCCTTGCTCTCCAGGGCGTCCTGCACCACACAGGCAAGCAGGCGAGCATGGGGTGAGCATGCGCAGCGGCGCCGACGCGGCGGAGCGGGTGTCGGTGCCGTGGCCCGCCAGCAGCAGTCACCAGCAACAGCAATAAATGCTGCCATTGCGGCTCTCATTGGTCAACAAGGCAGTTTAACAGGAGGCCAGGTGCCGGCAAACAGAGCTCGCAACGGTGGAAGGATTGGGGTTGTGGCATGGTGCCGATCGCAAGCTGGGGACCAGGCAATGTCTACCCAGACCAGCAGCGGGCGATGCAGCGACCTATGCAAGCTGGTTGACGGCATCCCCGCTCACCATCGCATAAGGCAGCGGGGGCAGCGTGAACGCCATGGCTTTCTGTGGTCTGCTGCGTGAACGCCAGGAGGAGTCAAGAATGAAGCCTGATCGCGGAACAGAGAACGTTTGCCTACGCATGGCGGCAGCCTTTCCTCCCGCCACGGCCCGCCGACCACTCAGGCAAAAATGCTGCTCTTGCGGCTGCCCCGACCCCCTGAGTCCTGGTCAGGGCAGGCAGGGTTCTGGGAAGATTGTTTACAGCATGCATGGTTGGCTTGGGGCTCAAATAGACGGCATCGGCCTGCGCCGGCTCCCCGAAAAGCAGTACCCGCCCGTACTGGATTTCAGCTTTTCCTGCCTTGTAGGCCCTTGGACGCTCCTGCAGCTGACATTTCGAGAGTGTGAGGCGCCACAGACCTGCCCGCCCCAGCTCTCCTCTCCCCTTTGGTCTGCCCAAGAACCCACCTGCCTCGCCACCCCAGCAGGCCCTGCAGGAGGCCCACGAGCCATGCCATACTCGCTGCCCGACTTGCCATATGCATATGATGCGCTGGAGGTGAAGCCATGGGGCACCAGTGGCGGGCGTGAGCGGCGGCGCCTGTAGCGGCCAACCTGCCAACATCACCCTGTGTGCAACCCTGTGCAGCCATTCGTGGACACTCAGACGATGACCCTCCACCACACGAAGCACCACCAGGCGAGCCACATGGCTTGTCCACTTGGCTCTCACGGATGCGCCTCCATCGCTGCTCCTGCCTGTCTGGCGGGCGGCGGTGTGCCTCAGCCTCTCAACCGGCCCTGCTCCCGCCTGGTGTGCACCCCCTGGGCAGACATACGTGAACAACGCCAACAGCGCTCTGAGCAAGTACCCCGAGCTGGCTGGGCTGGGCATCCAGGACCTGAACCGCGCGGTGGGCGCCCACAAGGTCCCGGCAGACATCGCCACCACCGTGCGCAACAACGGCGGCGGCCACTTCAACCACACGTGAGGCGCGCGCAGGCGTGCAGGCGCCCACCCTGCTGCCTTGCTGGGGCGGCGGCGGGATGTGGAGGCGCCGGCGGCAGAATTGCACGGCGTGGTCGCCTTGGGCAAGGCGCAGCACCCCTCACGCCCTTCACACGCACGCCTGCACGCATGCGGCTGCCCCGCAGCTTCTTCTGGGAGATCATGTGCAACCCCAGCAGCACGGGCGGCCCCGCGGGGGAGCTCAAGGAGGCGGTGGAGTCTGCCTACGGGTCGGTGGAGGCGCTCAAGGACAAGTTCAACGCGGCGGCGGCCGCCCGCTTTGGCAGCGGCTGGGCGTGGCTGGTGGTGTCGCCCGAGGGCAAGCTGGAGGTGACGTCCACGCCCAACCAGGACTCGCCCCTCATGGCAGGCATCGTGGACACGCCCGGCACGCCCGTGCTGGGGCTGGACGTGTGGGAGCAGTGAGTGGGCGGGTGGGCGCAGCAGCGGCAGCCTGGCGCGGCCGTTGCTGCCGCGCAGGGAGCCCCACACTCCGCGGCCCTGCCGCCTCTGCCGCCGCAGCGCCTACTACCTCAAGTACCAGAACAGGCGCCCCGAGTACATCGCCGCCTGGTGGAACGTGGTCAACTGGGAGCAGGCCAACCAGAACTACAAGGCCGCCGCCGGCAGCAAGATGTGAGGGCGGCGCGGGGCGCGGCAGATGGGCCGGGAGCAAGGCTGCCTTAGCACATGTTGTTGCATCGTTTGCACAGTGTGAGCAACGTTGATGAATGGGAATGATTGGTAGCAGGGCAGCAGCAGAACACAGGGAGAGAGCAAACACGGCGGGGAATGGCAGCGAGCACGACGCAGGAAGAGAGGGGAGGCACACAGCAGGGGACGGTGCAGCGGCCGGCTGGAGCCCCGCTCAGCTGCCTTTGATTGCTGATGCCGCAAAGCTGGGCGCCCCCAGGCTGCCTCCGGAGTGGTGTGCCGCCGCGTCTGCTGCCGCCGCCTGCGCCGCTGTCTCTGCATCAAACACGCGCGCACGGTGCAGGATCTGCGTCACCCTCCAGCTCTTGCGCTTGCTCAGCGGCCTGCTGATGTGAATCTGCACCGTGTCGCCCACGTTGCACTCATTCTTCTCATCGTGCGCCTGCAGGCGGCAGGGGGCAGGCGGTGCGCAGCGGTGCTCAACACACGCGGCCGCGGCAAGTGCCTGGCTGGGCTGCGGCAGCCTGCCGGCGCACCATGAGCTTGCTTGTGCGCTTGATGATGCGGTCGTACTTCTTGTGCTTCACCATGCGGTCCACCGCCACCAGCACCGACTTCTGCATACGGTTGGAAATGACCTGCGGTGAAGGAGGCGGGGGGCGAGGCGGGCAGGCGGGGCGCGGGCGGCGGCGGCAGTCAGGTGCAGCGGTGAAAGTGCGGCGCGTCTACCCCAACGGCGGCGCCCCTCGTGCAGCACGCAGTCCTAGCCTTGCAGGCCGGGCGGAGCCATTACCTTGCCGACAAATTCTGTACTCATGGCTATCCCAGTTGCCTGCAGGTGCGACTCTGGCCGGGTTCAGCCTGTGTCAGATGAGATGGCGGGGTGCGGAGTGCAGGGGGGCGCGCGGGCAACGCATTCACATGCTGTGGCGACATGCTGCGCGGCGACGCTGCGTGCTGCGTGGCGACATTTCTTTGCCCACCTAATCACCAGGAGTAGTAGTGTCGTTTCTAAACGCTGAGTCGCTCCTGCAGCAGCCTGGGCCGGCAGGTCGCATGTCCTTGCACCGAACCGTCCTTGCACCAAACGAGGAGGCCATGAACGGCCCAGGAATCCGCAACTTGATCGCGGGGCTGCGCAGCGCCCTTGCCGGCGAGGGGCCCACAACTTCCCGGCTGCACCTGTCTATAACGACCCCGCCGCAGCCTCCCACGCCAGCAGCAGGCGTGGGAGGGGCGGGAGGAGGCGCAGAGGGCGATGCGGCAGCGGCAGCAGCGGCGCCAGAGGAACAGCAGCGCCTGCAGGGCGGCGGCGGCAGCGGCGGCAGCGGCGTGCTGTCGGGCAGGGACTTTCAGGCAGCGCCGGCGGCGCTGCTGGACCTGGGGCGCAGCAGTGAGGCAGGAGGGGGGCGAGGAGCTGGCGCTGGGGGCGATGGCAGCAGCACCGCGGACGAGGCGGCGGATGTGGCGTCGGCGGCGGAGCACCACCGCCTCACCAACCTCACCTCCTCAGTCGACCTTCGGGCCGTGGCGCTGGCGCTGGAGCGGGGCCTGCCCTACGCGCTGCTCCTCCTCTTCCTCTTCCTCTCCTCCCACGTGGTGGTGAGCAGGGGCAGGCCAGCAGCTTTTCTGTGTGTGGGGGGGGGGGGGCAGGTCGCCGGTCCTGCTCACTTGTGCGCCTGCTCCAGCCGCCACCTCCCTCCCCGCCCTCCTCCTGCTGCAGGGCATCTCTGTGTACGCCTACCTGTCCTTTGTGCTCTTCCGCCTGAACACCCTCATACGCAGCCAGGTGGCGCTCAAGCAGGACCGCCAGGCGCGGCCGCTGCTGGCGGCGGCGGGCGTGGCGGGGGTGCAGGTGCCGCTGGTGCTGCTAGCGCTGCGGGGGCAGGACCTGGCGGGCAACCTGGTGCTGCAGGGAAGCAGGCTGCCGTCCAAGGTGCGGGGCAGCCGCGCCTGCTGCATGGCTGCTTCCTGAACTTGTTGCCTGCTGCGAAGCCTCCTGCCGCATGCCGCGTGATGGTGCTGCTGCCACCCACCCCCGCCACCCCCCTGCCCGCAGTTCTGGGATGTCGTGTTTGCTGTGGTGGTGGGAGACACGCTGCTGCGCTACCTGGCGGTGCTGGCCAAGGTGCGGCGCGACATGCACGCTGCCACGCGTGGTGCTGCGCGGCGGCCGCAACGGCGCGGCGTGCCCATGCGCGCACCCCCCACCTGCTCA